TCTTCCCCCCCCCCCCCCCAACTGCCCAATACACCACCTATACTGCTTTTTTAGTGCGCGCCATCCCAGTGCAGAAGATAGACATGTCCCAGGCATCAAGCAAGGTAAGTTTCCACAAATTGCTTTCACTCTACAAGCTTCGCCGGTCTTGCACCCTCTGGTAAAGCAAAGCTCGAATGGCTGCGTTTATACTTCGCGGCGTCATTTGCGCAATTTGCGAATCACGCAACAGCAAGCGACCGCGCTCAATCGCTAATCGTTGAACCGCTGCGACATCTGACTTAAAGTGCGGCGTTTTTCAACCGTTTTTAGCGGTTCAATGATTAGCAATAGAGTGCGACTTAATAGAGAGCGACTAGACTAAATCGCTCGAGTCACGAAGTATGAACGAATGACCCTTGTCCACTGTAATATACCTATTCACAGTTCCAAGAATCATCGAAACGACTTATCGGCAACGAAAAAACGGAATCCTTGGCGCATGATGGGCACAAGCTGTGAAGATATCGATTGTCTTGGAATATCGATTTTAAATGCTAGATATCAGAATGAACAAAGCTCAACAAATACGCAGATTAAATCTCATTTATTCTCTTAGCTAAACATTAAAATAAATAAAGAAAATATCTGTACATATGTTATCATAAAATGACCATTGACTATCTTATTATAATAGCTGTATTAGAGCGGTATTAATAAAGATGATTTTTCACGAAACCCGCAATTAATCACAAACACAAGGGGAAAAGTTAGTTGGAGGGGGCATGCGGCAGCGGAACTATGCACGTTTCGTCTGCTAGTCTGTGGCATCTAACCGGGATAGTGTCCGAGACAGCTTCGAAGTGGCTCCGGACGTATTTCAAGCGGGGACTCGATTGCGACCAAGAACATGACCCGGTAAGCATTATCTCGTGGAGAGGGAACAGACAGGCAGATGCGACGCGGCAGAGTCACCCAACAAGTCCACCCTCTCCAACTATCCCTGCCCCAGTTCAGGTCTTTTAAAAAGGTTAATCATAATTAGTGCCCGCAGTGGACCCGGCGCTTGATGAGCAAGGTTACTGGGAAGGAATGAGCAAAAGAGACATAGTCGTGTGACGTCAAGAATAGACTTAATGACCACACATCTCAAGCTGTCATATATAAATATTAGCATAAAAAGTATGGTTTTAGTCACAAAATGCTATTCTCCTTCCGAATACGACTCGTTCGGCAAATGTTTATTCTGTGTAACCGGGTTACTAGCTATTAGCTGATGCTAGGATAGGAAATTGCCCTTCTATACACAGTACCAAAAAATCACGGCTTGCGTTTATCTCGTGAATAGTGTGCTTGCGATTCGGCTCTGATTCTTGCTTGACGCTGTGTCGCTTGAGTTCGCTCAGTGCCTTTGTACTTACTACAGCACATCTGCCTAGGTTCTCTTCCACTGTTACTATAAATTGTTCGTCAAGTCGAAGACGTCGTGTATGGAACGTACATCAGCGAGTACACGTCCTGCCCGTACACACAGCACATTATATGGAATCAGACCTGAAATTCATCAATCTGAAAGGACACTGGTGATTTTCGCCATTAGGGGTGGTGGTACGGGGAATGAGTCAGGACATCTGAGTCTCGCAATCGCGCGCAATCTAGAGTACGCGAAGTATTTTCCTGACTAGTTAACTCGACACACTGCAGCATTGTCGCTTTGATTCGACTATGTGACAAGACAATCGCGCTATGCCCGCTGCTGGGCGTGGCAAGCAACACCGTGCTCCACGGACGAGTTTTCTTGCCCGGCCCTTTTGAATTGGGCGTTGAAGGGAAGGGAAGACTTGATATCGCCCGTCAAGGGGTCTTGCCTGTGTTTGGATTCATATGAGTTTCGCTGCTCCAACTAACGAACTAATGCATGTTGCGATTTGGCCGCGCTTCGCCGCGCGCGACGGTGCGACGAATTACGATTGTCTTGTCCACCTCCTCCTAACACGAGCGCCGCTTTAACGTTTTTTTTCATCACGTTTGAGATACAAAATGACCGATTTTCCTTCACGAGAGGAGTCTGCTTTGTTTTCATTCTGGCCACCTTCCCACCCCCCTTTGAGCGATAATCGAAAACGCACCTATAAGCACCGTAATCGCATGAAGTGGTATAGAAATACCAATAAACGGAGAGCAGATATTTAGTAACCAATGAGGGCAAAAAGGTAAAATTCGAGCACCGAGAAGAAACATGAACAGCTGTTGTCGTTCCAACATGATCTAAAAATAATGAGTAGAGAATAACTCGCTAAAATACCGCTACAAACGTCATACCTTCCTCCTGAGGACCAATAATCGCTTCGAGAAACATCTATCGACAATGGGTCGCATAAATAAAAGGGAAAGCATGTAGCAACACGTCGCACCAATAGCATTTAAAATGCAGACAAGGACCGATCCAAAATATACACCAAAAAGTGCACCGGCAAGGAGATTCTGGAACAATAAGGATTTTCAGCACTTGAAGAAGGGTAAACTTCGATCAATCAACCCTTTTTGGCATGTGGGACTTCCACTTCAA